CACCAAATAAGCTGAATTATTCGCCAATCGAAAAGTTATGTTTGGCGTTAGTCTTCTCAATCCAAAAGTTGAAGCACTACTTTCAAGCTCATGTCGTTCGTTTGGTTTCTAGAGCAAATCCCATCAAGTTCGTGATGTCAAAACCCGTCCTTAGTGATCGTCTAGCAAGGTGGTACCTCCAGTTTCAACAATTTGAAATTGTGTAAATCCCTCAAAAGGCTATAAAAAGACAAATTTTAGCGGACTTCTTGGCAGATTACCCTATACCTGATGATTGGGAGCTAACTGACGAACCACCTGATGAGAACGCAATGGTCATTAAAGTTCAACCTCCATGAAAGATGTACTTTGATGGTACTGCACATTGCGGAGGAGCTGGTGCTGGTGTAGTATTTGTCACTTCTCAAGGTGAAGTTCTGCCCTACTCTTTAATGTTGACGCAACTCTGCTCTAACAACGTTGCTGAGTATCAAGCACTAATACTTGGGCTTGAAATGGCTGTCGAAATGAAGCGGTTGAAATTGCAAGCCTTTGGTGACTCTCAGTTGGTGATCAACCAACTTTTAGGCAGTTACGAGGTCAAGAAACCTGAACTACGCCCATACCATGATTATGCTAAAAAATTAATATGGTGGGTCGGTGACGTGACTATTCAACATATGCCAAGGAAAGAAAACAAGAAGGATGATGCTTTAGCTGCCCTAGCTTCATCATTAACCCTACCTGATCAAGCACAAGTTACTGTCTGCCAAAAATGGGTAGTACCGCCGCCAAATGAGGTTGAAGGTGAAGAAAATGAACTCAAGCATCTTGTCGTTGTTTTTGAAGCTGAGAAAGAAGAATTACGACAAACCATTATCGACTACTTAAGATATGGGATACTTCCAGAAAATCCAAGGAGAAGGACTGAAATTCGTCGTCGTGTACCTCGCTTCCTTTACTACAAAGATACTATATACAGAAGGCCATTCGAGGGAGTACTCTTGCGATGCTTAGGGGAAGAAACACTCCAAGCTTTGCAAGAGGCACATTCTGAGTATGTGGGTCACACCAGTCTAGACCAAAGCTCCACTTCTATATAAAAAGGATGGGATATTATTGGCCAACGGTGGTAAAAGATTGCTTGGACTATGCTCGAAGATGCAAGGCTTGCCAATTCCATGCAAATTTTATTCATCAGCCTCCCGAAGTGTTGCACCCGACTGTTGCATCCTGGTCGTTTAATGCTTAGGGATTGGATGTTGTTGGACCACTATCAAAGTCCTCTGGTGGGCACCTATACATCTTGGCTGCAACTGACTACTTCTCAGAATGGGCCGAAGTTGTTGCTCTTAAGGAAGTAATGTAGTAAAATGTTGCAAGTTTCATCCGAGTAAACATAATCTATCCCTTTGGCATTCCTCGTTACATAATGAAGGATAATGGCAATCCATTCGACAATAGGTTGATAAACAAGATTTGTGATCTCTTTGGTTTCAAGCAACGTAACTCTTCTATGTACAATGCTCCCGCCAATGGTCTAGCTGAGGCATTCAACAAGACTCTATGAAACTTGTTAAAGAAAGTCGTCTCTAAATCCAAACGAGATTGGCATGACCATATGGAAGAGGCTTTGTGGGCATACATGACAACTCACCACACACCAATACAAGCGACCCCTAATTCACTTGTCTATGGAGTCGAAGCATTTTGCCACTTGAGCGTCAAATACCTTCATTATGATTAGCTATTCAAGAAGGGATCACTGATGAATAAAATGCTCGACTTCGATTAGAAGAGTTGGAGGCTCTTGATGAGAAGAGGTTGTAAGCTCAACATAGTCTTGAATGTTATCAGGCTCGATTGTCTCGCGCCTTCAATAAAAGAGTTTGACCAAGATCCTTTCAAGTAGGAGATCAAGTCTTTGCCATACGAAGACCTATTATTACTTCCCATAAATCTGTAGGGAAGTTCACTTCAAAATGGGATGGGCAAGTGGGGCTTACAAGTTGGTTGATGCAGATGGCATGAGAATCGACCCTATCAATGGCAAGTTTTAAAGAAGTATTATCCTTGAAGTTGCAACACTCCTTGACACACGAGCCTAAACTGCATGTTCCTACACTCCTGGGCCCTGGCCTGCATGAGTCTAAGTTGTGTACGACCCACTAAAAAAAGTGTTCGCTAGGTTGAAAACCTCGAAAGAGGAAGCCCAGGCAAAAGTTAGGATATTAAAAAAAGTTCACTAGGTTGAAAAACTCGAAAGAGGCGGCCTAGGCAAACGTTAGGACATAAAAAAAAATAAAAAATAAAAAAATCACCCATTCTGAACTACAGTATGACTTGATCCTTTTCATCGAGGTACGTAGGCAGCTTAGAGTTTCATTCTGAGTTCAGTCGCATAAGTTCAAAAGATACATATTGCCCCAATCGTTGTCCAAATGAAGTATGCTGGAAGTAATTCATTCAAGCAGCACTTGAAAGTCGGGCTGAAATATCATTCTTCTGTTGAATTTTGGATCTCATATGACTTAAAGGGGGCAAGCCTCTGTGGTAAATTGGTATCTTCAATGGAATGATTTTAATCTTTTAGGAGGCTACTAAGTATTTGCATTGAAGCCCGGAGAGTTACTATGTCTTCATATTCACTAAATCTTTAAGTCCTCCGGTCTTCAAGTTCGCCACTCTTCAAGTAGAAATATTTAAGTCCTCTAAGTCTCCAAGTTGAAGTCTTCGAGTCCATCGGTCTTCAAGTTGATGTCCTCAAGTTCGCCGGTCTTCATGTTGAAATATTTAAGCCATCCAAGTCTCCAAGTTGAAGTCTTCGAGTCCATCGGACTTCAAGTTGAAGTCGTCAAGTTCGCCGCTCTTCAAGTTGGAATATTTAATCCCTCCAAGTCTCCAAGGTGAAGTCTTCAAGTTGAAGTCTTCAAGTTCGCCTCTCTTCAAGTTGAAATATTTAAGCCATCCGAGTCTCCAAGTTGAATTCTTCAAGTCCGTCGGTCTTCAAGTCGAAGTCATCAAATTCGCCGGTCTTCAAGTTGAATTATTTAAGTCCTCCAAATCATCAAGTTGAAGTCTTCAAGCCTTCTAAATTTTCAAGTTGAAGTTTAAAAGTCCACCACTCTTCAAGTTAAAGTCTCCAAAGTCCGCCAAATCTTCAATGTTTGCCAAGTGTTCAAGTCGATGTCGTCAAGTTCACCAAGTCTTCGAGTTGAAACTTTCTAATTTTCCAATCTTAAGGTGGATATTTAAGTCCCTTTGCACCTTAAATTTGCCTCTTGGTGGGTTTATCCTTAAAAGGAACTATAACTTTCTAATCTTAAGGTGGACATGTAAGTCTCTTTGCACCTTAAGTTGGTCTCTTTATGAATTTTTCCTTCTATATGCTGCCATGGATTTGTCCTCCCATATGATGTTTATGGATTTCTCCATCTATTTGTTGCCATGAACTTGTACTTCGATATGCCGTATGAACCCTTTGCGTCCTGAAATGGCCTACGGTTTTTTTGGGCGGTGATGAGTATCCATCCCTTCACACCCTGAGAGTAATCTCTCCAATAGTCGGGCCACCTTGAGAGTAATTTCTCGGATACTCGGTCCATATTGAGAGTAATCTCTCTGATAGTCGGGTCACCTTGAGAGTAATCTCTCCGATAGTCGGGTCACCTTGAGAGTAATCTCTCTGATAGTCGGGCCACCTTGAGAGTAATATCTCCGATAGTCGGGTCATAATCTCTCTGATAGTCGGGCCACATTGAGAGTAATCTCTTCGATAGTCGGGTCACCTTGTATGGTGAATCTGAACATATTTTAATGCAGTTTATGATGTTTTACAATGGCGAGCTGTTATGACGCTTTATTGTTTACTATTGCTTAAGGTTTCTTCTTCTTCTTCTTATTTGCAAAATAGGTTCATTAGATTTATTGTTGTTTTGACAAATTGATCATTGAGGTTTGTTCCTGATCATATTTGGAGGTTATGTTTCAAATTTGAGCTCATTTGGACTAGATTTAGGTATTAAATCATATATTTGATTATTATAATTCGAAGAACAATTTTCTGTTCCTGGGCTATTTGCACTTCATGCCTATTTGGCCTTAAGTGCATAAAAACATTGGTTGCAATTCAGATCTTTTGGCCTTAAGTGCATCTGAAGTGCAATTTTTCACTTCAGATTTATTGGCCTTAAGTGTAGCAAAACGTTTGTTGCACTTCATACCTTTTGGCCTTAAGTGAATCTGAAGTGCAAATTTCACTTCAGACTTATTGGCCTTAAGTGTAGCAAAACGTTTGTTGAATGCTTCAGACCCTTTTGGTCTTAAGTGCATCTGAAGTGTAAATTTTCACTTCAGGCTTATTGGCCTTAAGTGAATGAAAACGTTTGTTGCACTTCAGACTTTTTGGTCTTAAGTGCATCTGAAGTGCAAATTTTCACTTCAGACTTATTGGCCTTAAGTGAATGAAAACGTTTGTTGCACTTCAGACTTTTTGGCCTTAAGTGCATCTGAAGTGCAATTTTTTACTTCAGACTTATTGGCCTTAAGCGAATGAAAACGTTTGTTGCACTTCATACTTTTTGGCCTTAAGTGCATATGAAGTGCAATTTTTCACTTCAAACTTATTGGCCTTAAGTGCATCTGAAGTGCAATGTTTCACTTCAAACTTATTAGCCTTAAGTGCATGAGACCATTGGTTGCACTTCATACCTATTTGGCCTTAAGTGCATTTGAAGTGTAATTTTTTCACGCCAGACTAATTTTTTTTTTAACTTCAGACCCGATAAATCTGAAGTTGATTGTAAAATTGGTACACTTGCAAACTTTTTGCAAAGTGGGTATAGGTTCAATTGTGACCCTAAAACCGGGTATAAATGTAAAAGCCCCACCGATGTGGGATAGTTGGAAATCAATGTGTAACTTTAAACGCAAAGTGGATCAGAATATTTTGTGGAATGTTGGTAAAGGGAATATCAATTTTTGGTTTGATAACTAGTCACCCATTGCCCCCCCCCCCCCTACAAGATGATTGAGGATGACTTAATTCAACAAAACATCATGATCAAGGAGATATATAATGATGGTCAGTGGAACTGGTCTTATTTCCAAGTTCAACCTCCTGATCAGATAAAGCTTCGTATCCCAATTACCATAATTTTAGATGATGGAACTGATGACACCCCTCACTGGATATGCTCCAATTCAGGTAAATTCTCTATCTCTACAACTTGGAACCTACTCAGACGTAAAAGACAGGTTAATCAATTTTACTCAAGAATTTGGCATAGGGACATTCCTTTCAAAGTGTCTTTCTTAACATGGAGAGCTGTGCACGACAGACTCTCTACTGATGATAAAATCTCCATGTTTGGTATCAATCTTCCTTCTAATTGCTCATGTTGCATAGGCCCTACCCTAAGCAACAGAAGTGAAACAACTGAACATCTCTTTTGCGATGGCCAGTATGCCCAGAAAATATGGAAATATTTTATTGGTCCTATTGGGATTAAGTATAACAATGTGACCATGAGAAGTCTTCTTCTTAATTGCTGGAACAAGAAGACTAGGAACTCAGCTACTAATTATATGCTAAAAATCCTTCCTTGCTTCATTTTGTGGGAATTATGGAGATCCAGGTGTAGCTCAAAGTATGGGATGGAGATGCCTTATTTTGCAAGATCTATCAAATTCATTTCCTTCAACTTATACAGAAGGTTAAATCTAACTTCAAGAACATCAAAGTTGGGGAACATTGGATTGATATGTGTAACCTTTGCAACATATCACTCAATGAAACCTTTTTCAGCATCGTTAAATGGATCAGATCATCCGCCCTCTTTGTTAAGCTCAATAGTGATAGCTCATGTATTAGAGGAAAATGTGGAGCTGGAGGAGTGGTTAGAGACAACAATGGAAAATTCATTATAGCCTGTGCAATTCCACTGGGGCAGGGCACTAGCAATTGGGCAGAAGCATGTGCCATGCTTTTTGGCATCAATTGGTTCATACAGAAGGGAACACCCCTTATCATTGGCGAGACATACTCCATCCTCATTCATAGTTGCATCTCCGGAACTTGGGCTACACTGTGGAGAATTTCCGACAAGATTAATGAACTCAAAATGCTGGAGGATAGCCATGATATTGTCACCCACCATTGCTTCAGAGAAGCAAACAAAGTTGCGGATAAACTGGCTGCTCTATGCCATATAAATGAAGAGGCGTGTATATACACTAACTTTAACTCTCTACCGCGTCAAGTTAAAGGTCTTCTCAATGCTGATAGATGGCACATGCCTACCTTTCGAGTCAAGAGGAGAAAACCAAGCGGGCTAATATATGAGCCTCCTTGAAGTAACATATCTCTCTTTGTTGTTTTGATTTAGAGAAGTAATGTTACCTGAATTTGTCGCAAACTTCAGATATATTTCTCACATCCTGTAATGAAGGAATGGATATACCTTCCTTCTCAAATGTACTCTCTTTACAAGTGGCAATAAATTTGTGACTCGTTTTAAAAAAAAAAAAAGAATTGCCAAATTCATATGGATTCTGTCAGCTCTTAACGGATGGTCAAAAACATTGGAAAGAAAATGGCATCTCCACTATACTGATAATAGTAGTCATTATCATGTAAAAATAGCACGGTATAACCAATTTTCGTACTGGTCAATCAAAAATAGCCAGCGTTTATCAAGTCAATGAAAAATAGCCACCGTTTTGCTGCAATAGAGACCGGTCCAGCATAATATACTGGAGTTCGGTGCACTTGTGTATGAACTCCAGCATATTATGCTGGACCGGTATACTTTGACGGCTCCAGTATAATATTCTGGAGACTGGAGCACTGGTGCTCCAAACTCCAGTATATTATACTGGACCAATATACTTGCTGGAACTCCAGTATATTATGCTGGAGTTCTAGAGTACTTATGCTGGAACTCCATCATATTATGCTGGAGTTCCAGCATACTATCTTGGAATTCCAGTATAATATGCTGGAGTTCAAGTATACTTATGCTGGAACTCCAGCATAATATACTGAAGTATTTTCCGGGTTTTGAACAGTGTTTTCGCTTAGATTTATCTTTACATAAAAAGTGGCTAAATTTCAATTACTTTTGAAATTGGGCTATTTTTGAACGACCAGTTGTAAATCTGGTTATTTTTAATTTTCTCCCCATTATCATCTCTCTTGGTAATTATAATGGTTGGAGTCACTTTGATATTTAAGTGTGGACCAAACTACTAACAGGCTATCAACGGACATGTAATCAATTATACATTGATCCACTATCTGTTTTGGCAAATAAAATTTACATATTATTATCAAGTTAATACTTCAAGTCTAGTCCTCAAAAAGTTTAAGGACCTTGACAAGCCTTGAAGTAGGGGGCATTTGCAGGCATATAAATTTTATTGGAATTAAATCCGTAAAATAATTTGGACTATATTTTAAATTCAAGATATATTAGTTCAAATAAACTTATTGGACTAATATAATGGAATTAATTATATAATTCAATATACATGGATTAAATAAATAAGTCTTAATCCATTGGGCTAGCCCATTTAATCGGGCCAAAGTGATGATCCCACTACATTAAGCCCAATATGTCATCTTCCTAGAGGCCCAATTTGGTGCCACGTATCAAATAACGTGGCACACCAAATCAAACAGAAGAGCCAATAGGATCGTGCGACGTGTCTAAATGACAAGGCATGCCAAGCTAAATTAAAAAGCCAAAAAAATCGCGCCATATATGCAAGCGACATGTTCTGGTCAATCAAATGCGGCCTTGTCACACTTCAATCTGATTGGTCGGAAAGAGTTTGTTTTTATCATAACTCTTCCCTCCCACAACTATAAATAGGGATCTTCATAACTCAAAAAATACACCAGAAGTTATAACAAGAAGCAAGAGAGAGCTCGTGGGTCAAACGCCGCAAATTTCTCTACAAGTTTCAAGCTTCAGGCAAGCAAGTTCAAGTTCAAGAAATCAAGTTCAAGCTCAAAAACAAAGAACAAATCAAGATTCAAGGAGTACGAGTTCAAATCAAAGTTCGTGCTAGTTGAATTCAAGATCATCATTCGTGACAACGAACATAGGTTCAAGATCAAGCTCAAAGGCCCTTGGATTTATATTGAAAAAGTAGAATCAGAGGAATCATAGAGATTGTAACACTCAAATATTAGGAATAAAATACTACGATTGTTGTAATATTTAATTTTTCGATCTCGAATATTTTCTTGATATTGTCTACAGATGTTAAACTAGATTTTTTTTGGTAACTAGAGCCTAGTAGAACTTATCTATTGACTTGAGCAACGAAATGGTCTCTTTTTTATTCCACCACTGATCTCTTTTTGAATTTTAGTAAATATCGTCACATTTAATTAAGGGGAATGGATGTGTAACTACAGCATTTATTAGGAAGTTATTAGATTCACTTCAAAGAATGAAATAGAAAATATCTAGTCGTGATGTAACTCTGTAATTTTTCATCAATCACAAGAAGGCAGTAAATCAATTTATGTTATAACCTCTTTCAAATATTGCCACTTCACGTGCAAATTCGTGACATGAAATATGAAACTTGTTATCTCTAACATATTGTCATCTATGCATTTGGAGCAAATTCATGACATGAAATACGGAACGTGTATGCATGTACGCACAATTTAACCACTTTTGAAATTTGGTCATATATTTCTTGAATCTCTTTTACAATGTTTTTCAAGTGAATATTTGAAATATGTAAAAAAAGATGTATTTTCTTTCAATATTATTGCTCATACTATAACAACAACAACCATAAGATGCACACAAACAAATCATATATTTGTTTCCACAAATCATCATTATCTTATTTTAATCACTATATATAGCTAATAAAACAACTTTTTGAGTTACATACAGGAGGCCAACCCGTGCATTATTTTTCTTTTGGTACAGCCCTCGTGCTCTGTCACTTGTCCCTTTTCTTCATCTTAATGGTTCTTTTCGCAAACAATATTATATACTTTCATCAGCATAAGTGGCAGTATATCATTGAAGATTCCAACGTAAACAACTGGCAAAAAATTGCTAAGTCAGTTGTTGACTCAATATGTGACAAAACATATAAAAGATGGTGTCTGCAATAATTAATAGGCGGTGGCCTACCCGTGAATGACATTATTCGTTTTTAAGGGGAAGACATATACTATCATATGAAAGCAAAAGACTAGTAATCGTTAAAGTATTATTGTACAAATGGACTATTGAGTAATCATTATAGTCTATGATCAAATTCACCGTTAAAGAAATGTGGGGGAATGGATGAGATTCTTCCCTTGATTAAAGATCACGCTTTTAATTTCTAGGAATGAAAAACTTTTTGGTACGGAATATTTTTCTTTTAATAGATCCTTTGCGGCATTAGTTAGGCTAGCAGGTACCGAATGAGTCAATTACTCAAATGGTCATTCAACCATCTCAAATTATCTCTTAAAGTCACTTTTCTTTCGTTTGTAGTAACAAAATCACTGAACTATGCATATTGCACTCAGAAGGTCACTCAACTAGATTTTCAAAATTTTGGATTGCCAAATACCTATTTTACCCTCTAAATTATAAACATTTGTCTTCTTTTTATTTTCTTATACTTTTTAATTTATATTATGGATTTGCCTATAGAATAAATAAATATTACTTATAATTAAAAAAATAAAAAGTATTTAAGCATCTATAATGCTAGAATAACAAAATAATGAGCATAGTAAAAAAATTAATTGGAATAATTTGTTCGTAATAATAATTTTAGTTTTAACAACAAAAATTTAAAAATTTCTTTCCACAATTCAGAATGAAAGATAATAAAGGTTGTAAAATATATATGTCATGCATGTGAGCACGTGATTTTTGCCACGCTTAAATTACTCATACAAAATTCCTTAGAATTATGATTTTTCTTTATTATTTGATTTTTAGAATCTAATTGCATGATTTCGTGTTTATTTGCATTTTGTGTGCATTTTTAGGGGTTATAAAAAATGAAAATTACAAAAAATAGCATACTTACATTTAGGACCTAATTCTAGATTTTTTTTATATTAATTAAACATCATTGAAAATAAAAGAGAAAATAACAAAAAAATAATCCTTTTATATCTTTTGTTCCTTTAATTTCACTTTCGTTTAATTCTCCTTTTAAAATTATGATCTAGTTAATTCTAGAAAATTTAATTAGTCTCATTTTAGAATTAAATTAGGTTTTTTAAATTTTGCATTTAATAAAATCCAAATTCAAATAATAAAGAAGAAAAGAGAAGAAAATAAACCAAATGAAATGGAAATGAAAAGGACCAGGCCACAAGTCTTGGGCCAATTCGAGCCCAATGAACCCAACCAGATCCGGCCAAAATGGCCCAACCCAATCCCTGATCCGGTCCAGAGACGCCCAAAACGACGTCGTTTTGGCGTCAATGGATCATGACCGTCCATACCCTCAAATCTAACGGCCCGGATTGAATCTTGAATTAAAATAAAAGTGTCCGAAAATATGCCAAACCCTAAGACACTCTTCACCTTCCTTGTACCATTTCCCCTCCCTGTAACGCCGGCATAACACCACCCTTCTCCGCCGTGCCTCCGCCGTCCGCCACCGGCCGGAAATCGCCTCCGCATGCGGCGAAGCCCCAATCAACCCCAAATTTACACCACAGATACTACTTCATCTCCTCTTTACATATCCGTGGCCCATTTCTTCCAAATCTCAGTCCGTTTTCTTGAATTTCAGATCCAAAATCTGGCCAAAACCTCAATTCACCCAACCCCAACCAAATTAACACCATACACTCTCCTTATACCCCTCATCCCAAACTCATGACCCTCAATCTCCGAATCATCCTCGTTCGTGTCAAATCTTAAATCGAAATTTGACCTCAGAACCCTAACTTTACAAATTGGGGATAAAACGGTTTCCGGGCTATAATAGCCCTTAATTAGGTGTTTTCTCATGGGAAACACCTAATTAAGGATGGTTATAGTCTGATTTTGTCAACAAAGGCCGTCGGATTTGAAGCTTGAGGTATTTCATTTTATTCCCATGTTCATAGCTTCATGATTTTATTCTCTTAGGTTCATGTTGTAATTTCAGTATGCTTGCCATTGTTTTTCTTTAGGGTAGTTTAATTTCGTTAATCTCCAAAATTAGTTTGAACCTTTGTTGATCCATTCATCCATGTTTCGGTTAATTTAGTCACGATTTAGGTTTGCTCATATTAGGCTAGTTTAACTCGTAGTAGGTCAGTCTTAATTCGTAAATAGGTCATTGATTAGTATCTGTTGATTGTTAGTTTCCTGATTTTTAGTTCAGTTCTGAGTTAATCTTGTTTCATGGATTCTGATCAGTTAATTCAAGTGTTAGTTCTGATTCTATGATGATTCATTTTTAGTGCTTAAGTGTATTTAGTCTTTGTTAGTTGATAATTGGATAGTAGTGGGATTTAGGATCAATTTTCAGTCTCAATTA